GAAGGGAGGCGACGGCGGCGGAGCCGCGTCCCTGAGGTCAGCGCTGGGCGGACGTCGCCTCCGAGCCCCCGGGAGCCCGGGAACCCGACGCTCCTTGGCCGAACGGGTAGCGGTTCCGGATTCGGATCCGTACGGGACGCACCCTGGTCGCCTGCGCGCGCGCGCGTGCGTGCGCGCGGCCGCTCCCTCGGCCTCGGTTTCCCCGTGGTGGCCGAAGGAGCCCCGGGGCGCCGGAACTCAGCCGTGCGCAGTTCAGCGGCAGCCTCAGGTTTTTCCAGTTTGGGTGGATGCCCACCTGCCCTTCCCAGGGCGCTGCCACCGCCGTCCTCACTGCAGGCTGGCGCCGATTGCTCCGTCTCTGTGTCTTTTTGGCTTTCCCCAGCAGGTTCTCAAGTAGCCCAGGGTGGCCCCAGACTCACCGAGTAGCCGAGGATATCCCTGAACTTCTGACCCTCCTACCTGTACCTCCCGAGTCCAGTTTTATGTGGTGCGGAGACTCGAACCCAGGGCTTCCACACAATGCTACGCGAGCCCTCTGCGAGCTGAGCTCCACTCCCGGCCCCCTTGTCGTGCGTCATACCACCTTTCCAGTCAGGCTCCTGTTGGGAAACTGCTGTTCTTTCAATCTCCTAATCTTTCCCCATAAAAAGCAGTGCCAGTGTTTAAAAAAAAAAAAAAAAGGACAGATGCTTACTGAATTCCAAGTCCAGATTAGTTTTTCCTTCTGAACCGCTCCTCATAGTAACACATTAAGGTTTCTTGGACAGCAAGAAATACTTAATAGTTGCCGGGCGGTGGTGGTGCACGCCTGTAACCCCAGCACTCGGGAGGCAGAGGCAGGTGGATCTCTGTGAGTTCGAGGCCAGCCTGGTCTACAGAGCGAGATCCAGGACAGGCAAAAAACCAAAAAAGAAAAAAAAAGAAAAACTTAATAGTTGAATGGAGACCTACTTCCCCACTAATTTCTACGTGTGTTTAAGTACGCATGCACAGTACACATCTATCGGTCATTTAACTGCCTCCCGTCTGTCCGTCCGTCCTGGTGCTCCATCTGATGGTTTTACTGTTCCTTAACCACTGCTGCTAGTAGATTCACGCAGTTCATAATTTTTTGCTATTCAAGGTGTTGCAGGCAAGCCCTTGAACAGCACATGGAGTCAGTGGCTGGTGCAAGCCTTGAACTGTTTTTCCAGAAGCAAGCGGGGTCATGTCAGATGAGCACAAGTCTGGAATCAGAAGGAACAGGCTGAGGAGAGGTGCCGTGGTATGTGTTCTTGAAACTTCTGGGTCTGGGCAAGTTAATGCCATCCCTTTGACCAGCAGTTTTAAGAAATAGACGGAAGGGCCGGAGAGATGCTTCAGCAGTTAGGGGGCACCGGCTGTTCTTCCAGAGGACCCTGACTAAATCCTCAGCACCCACGTGGTGGCTCACAGCCGTCTGTAACTCCAGTCTCAAGATCTGTCATCTTCCAGCCTTGGCAGGCACTGCAGACACATGGTATATAGACACATTCAGACTAACATTCATACACAAAAAAATAAAAACCTCAAAAAAAGTTTTGAGTGGTGGCTCAAGCCTTTAATCCCAGCACTTAGGAGGCAGAGGCAGGTGGATCTCTGTGAGTTCGAGGCCAGCCTGTTCTACAGAGCGAGATCCAGGACAGCCAGGGCCACACAGTGAAACCCTGTCATGAAAAAACAAAAAAAAACAAAACAAAAAAAAAAAAAGGTCTTAGGTTAGACTTAAGATAAGCACCTGGTGTCTCCCCAGCCTGTGAGGCAGTGGATCACATCTGCATATCTGCTCCCAGGTCAGGAGGGTTACCGTTTCGAAGTCCACCCCCAGCCCTCCCACCCCCCCACCCCGCAATGCTTTTGGACAAACCATGTAGCCCTGTCTCAGCCTGTTTCCTCACAGACTATTGTAGATGCAAGGCTATGTGGCCACCGATGCTAATCCGTCATACTGCAGGGACTTGTTCATCCTAAAGCTGTTTCCTATTCTAGACTTTAAGAATTTCCTAGGCTGCAGCCTGATCATGTGGCTGCTGGACACGCCAGGGATGTAAAGCAGAACTGGCCACAGGAGATGAGATTCCCAGTTTTGCCCCAGGTGTCAATCTAGAATCCAACAGGTGTAAATTCCTCCGTTTATTCTGTAACTATTGAATGGTTCCTTCCTATTTATATACCCCATGTTGTAAAGGATATTAAACTTTTTCCCTCCAAAACTTTGCAGACTCAGCAGAGCTGAGATACATTCATGAGGAATTAAAAATGAATGACAGAGTACAGAAGACAGAGCAGCCATCAGATCTCCACCTAGACGTCAGAAGAGACAAACCGCCCCTGTTAGAAAGAGTGACGGGAAAGATCCCAGCATAAAGATTCATGGTGGCACCAGAACAGAGGTGGGCTTTGAATGTCAGCTGTAGTTAGCAGCTGTCTGAACCTGTGAGAATCATCAGTTTTGGCTTGGGGAGGGAATTCCCTGAGGATATACCCTTGGAACCCCAAAATGAGTCTCCAAGCACATTCTCTGAAAACGCCGCCTCACGTTCACTCAGCTACATCAGTGAGAGCTCTCGTCTCTAAGCACGTGTACTGTGTTGTGTGTACACCTCCAACCTGATCAGGACTGCCTGCGGCTGGAAACCTCATCTCAGGAGTCCTGAGCTGTGGCTAGAGGAGCCCTGCAGCTGCTTCTACCTCAGGAGCTGCATGAGTCTCCCAGCAGAGCAGCACCACAGACTGTCTACACTGCAGACCCACGGTGGCAGCAGCCAGATAGAGAGCTGCCGGGCTGGAAACATGTGACGAACAGGAGGGGCAGATACCAACCAATCAACATGGCAAACAGTGACAGCCAGACAAAGCTGCTTTTAAAACATCACCTCACCTGGCAACTGGATTCATGCAACAAATTCAGTCGATTGCGATTGATTCATTCATTAATTCAATAAATATGGGGTGTGCTTGCTAGATGCACCTGGAAGCAAAACACCACCCACATCTTCATGGTGGGGGAAGCAAGTCAATAATTCAACAATCAGTGGGGTCTGGAGAGACGCCCAGTAGTTTAGAGCCAGTTGCTCTTGCAGAGGACCAGGTTTGGTCCCCAGTACCCACATAGCAACTAACAATGTCTCTAACTCCAGTCCAGGAGAACGGTCGCCCTCTACAGGCACCAGGCACAAAGACATACACTCGTGCATATTTTCTAAAAGAAATAATATTTTTTTTAATTTTTAAGTTAAAAACACAATTATTGGGGGCCTACTTTATGCCTGGCACTGGTCTAGCAGCCAGAAATTTAGCAGCAAGCAAAATTCAAAAACCTCCTTGCACACCGTTTGGGAGAATGGGCTGTGGGTCAGAAGAGAGAAGTGTATCGGAGAAGGGGCTGGGGGCCACGGAAGCTCGCTCGCTCGGGGTGGCAGGTCTCTGTTCGAGTTTGGCAGTGAGCAGAAAGCAGGTGGTAAGCAGAGGGCAGAGGATGATTACATCCCAGGGCGAAGAGCTGCTGAGTGGTGATCAGGAGGGAAGGAGGGTGGATCCTCAACGTCAGCAGTGCTCTCCGGGTCAGCACAGGAGAGGCCTGGACGGAGCCGTGATATCCGGGTAAGTTCGAGGGCCATAGACTGTGTTCATGCAAGACCGTGGAAGTGAACACGGAAACCCACGCCAGCTTTCTGTGGTACTGCAGCTAGATCCAGGGGCTTCCTGCACATTAGGCAAGCACTCGACCAACTGAGTGAGCTACGTCACCGGGCTGTGCTGGTTCCTTCTAGTTATTGTTATTTTATGTGTTTTCAAGAGAGGGTTTCTCTGTGGAGCTCTGGCTGTCCTGGAACCCATATTCTACCACCGCCTGGCTAACTATTTCCTAACGAATATTTTTGTTGTGGTTTCTAGAATGCAAGCGTCTACAGGCAAGATACATTCTTTGGAATGGGTTGTTTGATATGGAGTCTTTGATAATTTTGGGGTGTAAATGGGTCCCGAGGCCAAGCTGTTTGAGAAAGGATGTGGTGCATGTCACCATGCCCCGGCCGCCCACCTCCCTTTGGGGTGGGAATCTTAAGTGGTAGGAAGGATCGAGTGTAGCTCTCTCAGGGGAGTAAGGCACTGTTGGGAGACTTCCACATATTGGTTGTTCTGTTAACCATCTCGAGAGAATCCACACTAGACAGGGTATGGGGACTCAGTCTGGAACACTCAGTTATCAGTGTCTCAGAAATCCTCCTGACACACCCTTGAACCAGCACTTTCTTCCTAGGCTTGAACATGGTAGACTCCCTTCCCCTCTGAAGGCAGGGGAGCCCCCCTAACAGGACTCAGAACCACCCAGGGAAGCACACAGAATTCTCCCTCTTCTGCAAGGCGGAACCTAGTCATTCCAGAGCCATACACAAACCCTGGCACTTCTGTTCAAATCACTTTCCAGATTATTTTTTGTTGAATGGCACTGGGGCTTGGTGACTAGAGAATCAAGAAATATAGGTTTCTCCCCCTACCCCAATTCTGCCATCAGAACCTTAGAGACCTCCTTCCCATGGGCACCTCGGCTCTACTCTTCCTAAATAAGGAGTGCTGTGCTATATGGGGAGTGACTGGTGGCCAATCCCTTCCTGCCATGTACTGGCAAAGGCAGTCATCGCCATTACAATCATGTCTTCCAAATAAATCTTAACAGCTTTTCAAACTATGGGGTCAAGAAACTGAAGGCGCATTGAGAAAACACTATGCTCACCTTGTGTCCCACCTGGCACCATGACCGGTGTCTTAGTGTTCTGTTGCTATGAAGACACCATGACCACAGAACTCAAAAAAACATTTACTTGGGACTTGCTTACAGTTTCAGAGGCTTAGTCCATTGTCATGGCAAGGTGTCACGAGCATGGCGGCATGCAGGCAGACGTGGTGCTGGAGAAGTAGCTAAGAGTTCTACATCCAGAGCAGAAGAGAGACACTGGGTAACGGGATTTTCCCAAGGGCCTGCCCTGAGAAAATCCCTCCCAGGGTCCTGGGGAAGACACTACATCTGGCGCGGGGTTATCTGAGGGAAAGGAATCCATATACACCATGCTCTTTTCCTCCGTTACTTTATTTCTCTAAGACAAAATTCTGTCTACACAGCTTCAACCCCGTCCTCACACTCAGCTCCTCTCTGTGCCTACTGGGCCTGCCCGTCATAGTCCTGACAGAGCTCCTGTGCTTTCGACCTCATCTCCGTCCTCTGTTCCTTCATCCTCCATCTTTCCTTCCTTGCTCCTTACCCCCGGCTCTGAGAAACTCTGCTCCTTCTCTTCTCCCCAGCCACAGGCAGCTCTGCCTCCAGGAATGCTGCTCCAGTCTTTACTGCACCTGGTTCTGCAAAAAGCCCTGTTGTCCTGAGTCAATAGCTCTGCAGTGCTACTAGGTCTGAAGGAAGAGGATGGTCTGCACTTCATCTGCACAAGAAACAAAGCTATGCATCTACAGTCCACCCATCTCCTAGGCGCTGCAGGGGTGTTACCTAGTGGATCAGCAGTAGGTCTGAGGAGCTTAACTGTTTGCCAATGGCCTCGTAGTATATGGGCACACAAGAATTTCATAGCAGAAGGCAGCTGATACATATTAAAAGCTGAATAACACCAAATATTCCTTGATAAATGGCTTTCTCTAGAAACACTCCTTGCCTTTTCTAGGTATCGCTTTAATATACAGCTGAATCTCTGTAATATATTCTTGTGGCCTGCTGCAACTGGGCCTGACTTGGGCCCTTGAGGCCTTAAAGCCCACTCCCAGTGACACACCTCCTCCAAGGCCACACCTCCTAAGCCTTCTCAAGTAGCGCCTCTCCCTGGTGGCCAAGCATCCAAATCTATGAGCCTATGGGGCTATTTTTATTCAAACCACCACACTGGCCCTCTCCCCGAGTCTCTCACACTGTCCACATGAGAAGAACCTGTGTGCCTAGCTTTGTGCAGAGCACACCATTATCATCACTGTGGACAACCTGTGGTGGCCACACCCCACATCTGTTAGAGAGCTGGATGTCAGGACAGGGAGGGTTGGAAGCTGACTGCAAAGCCCTGGATCTCCGAGACACCAAACCGTGGAGCATCTCCTTCACTGTCAGGACTAGTTATAGTTGTAGTAGTTAGAATGTAGTGCAAATCCTATTAGAGCGCAAACAAAATATCACATTAGAACGTGTTACAGCTAGTCCTTTTAGACTGGTCCGGGGCCTGGGGGGCAGCCTGGCCTAGCCCCATGTTATGCCTCCAGCACAGCAAAAAAACTAACGTCTAGGGTTCTGAGAACTGTCGGTAAAGTGCCTGCCACCCAAACATAAGCTTCCCTAGGTGTGGCAGCTTATGGCTACATTCCCCGTGCTGGGGAAGTGGAGGCAGGCAGATCCCTGGTGTCCAGCTGGATCAAAGAACTCCAGCTTCAATGACAGGACCCTGTCTCAAAAAAATAACATAGAGAACAATCTAGGAAAACACTGTGTGTGGCTTCCATACATGTGCACATAAGCACACACACCTGTACCTGCATATAGACACATGTCTATACATACTCCACAACAAAAATAAAATCCCCCTCCCTTTTTTTTTAAAGATGGAATCTTACTCACAGTTCAGATGAGCTTGAATTTATAGCACTTCTGCCCCAGGCCCCTGAGTTTGGGGACACTACTATAACATATACTATATTACAACTTGTTGCTGTTTTAGAAAAACTTGAAGCAACTTGGAACAGCTTCACAGAACTATACTTAAAGCAATCCTGGCTGGGTGTGCTGGTGCACTCCGTGAATTCCAGCTCTCGGGAGGCAGAGGCAGGCAGAGATTTGAGTTTGAGGCCAGCCTGGTCTACAGAGCGAGTTCAGGACAGAGAGGCCCTACCTTAAAAAACAAAACACGGAGCCGGGCGGTGGTGGCGCACGCCTTTAATCCCAGCACTTGGGAGGCAGAGCCAGGCGGATCTCTGTGAGTTCGAGGCCAGCCTGGTCTACCAAGTGAGCTCCAGGAAAGGCGCAAAGCTACACAGAGAAACCCTGTCTCGAAAAACCAAAAAAAAAAAAAAAAAAAAAACAAAACACGGGGCTGGAGAGATGGCTCAGAGGTTAAGAGCACCGACTGCTCTTCCAGAGGTCCTGAGTTCAATTCCCAGCAACCACATGGTGGCTCACAACCATCAATAATGAGATCTGGTGTTCTCTTCTGGCCGGCAGGCATACATGTAGGCAGAACATTGTATACATAATAAATCTTAAAAAAAAACAAAAACAAAAACAAAAACACAGGGTGGTGGTGGTGGTGGTGGTGGTGGTGGTGGTGGTGGTGGTGGCGGCGGCGGCACAGGCCTTTAATCCCAGCACTCAGGAGGCAAAGACAGGCAGATGTCTGAGTTTGAGGCCAGCCTGGTCTACCGAACAAGTTCCAGTTCAGTTACACAGAGAAACCCTGTCTTGAAGTACACCCCCCCCAAAAAAAAAACCCAAAACAAATACACACAAACAAAACGACAAAAAACCCACAAGCATTTCCAAATGCCTACCTTGTTTCAAAATCCATCAGGTAAATAAATACCTCCAAAGACCAAATCTAAGTCTCTGCAAAGCCCTGCTTCTTGGGCTTATGAGCCCTGTAGAGAAGACTCCTCCTTCTTCTTCTTCTTCTTCTTCTTCTTCTCCTCCTCCTCCTCCTCCTCCTCCTCCTCCTCCTCCTCCTCCTTCTTCTTCTTCTTCTTCTTCTCCTTCTCCTCCTCCTTTTCTCCTTCTCCTTCTCCTTCTTCTTCTCCTTCTCCTCCTTCTCCTCCTTCTCCTTCTTCTTCTTCTTTTGGTTTTTCAAGACAGTTTCTCTGTGTAACTCTGGCTGTTCTGGAACTCACTTTGTAGACCAGGTTGGCCTTGAACTCCCAGATATCCACCTGCCTTAGCCTCCCAAGTGCTGGGATTAAAGGCATGTACCACCACTGCCCAGTTGTAGAGAAGACTTAACTTGCAAGGCTGATCTTAGGAGTGTCTCAGCCATATCATAAGATCCATCCCACAGATCTTGACACCAATTTCTGAGGCTCCAAGTTCAAGGGTTGGGAACACTTGGTTTAGACAATTACCTCTTTGTGATCAAGTTTACAGCATTTTGTCACTGATTTGAGGACCCTGCCTCTCTAAAGACTTTCCCAGCCAGTACCCTGCAAATGAGGTGAGAAATTGGTCAGATTGCAGCTCCATAAGCTGAGAAACCTGGGGTGGGTGGAGCCCTGGGCCAGTCATCCAGACCTGGCTCATGCTTTTACCCAGGATCTTCCACTGCCCCATTTCCTGTGAGTGCCAGAACAGGAAAGTTCTGGAAGCATTGCTTTCTTTGAAGAGTAAAAATGCTGAAGCCTGGCCCACCACAATGTGAGAGGACGGCACTACCATTTCTGAGCCACATAATGCTGGGCATGTGGCCACTGAGCCACAATTTCCTCCTCCAGAAAACAGTAGCAAGGGGCTGGAGAGGTGGTTTAGCCGTTAAGGGTTAATCACACTGGCTGCTCTTCCAGAGGACCCTGGCTGGCTTCTCAGCACTCACATAGCTGTTAACTTCCATCCTAACTCCGGTCCAGGGGACCTGATGTCATCTTCTGACCTCTGTGGATACCAGAAATGTGTGTAGTGTGTAGGCATGTATATAGGCAACACACACACACACACACACACACACACACACACACACACACACACACAATCTAAAATCAAGAGACCCTAGTTTATAGAATGCTTCAAATAAATGTTGAGTAGCACAATTATGCTACCACCTAAAGGGGAGCTGAGAACATTTTGAGTGTTTCCAAATTCCTCATTCTACAAATGAGGAACTGGGTACGGTGAGCTCCAGTGCTTTGTCAGACACCAAGCAGCTGCCAGCCACTGGGACAAATCCTTTTTTACTCTAAGGGAGCGAAGCTCCACTTCCTCCAGGGCTTGCCTGGGCTGTTTCCAGGGCTGCTGTGCCTTCAGACGGGTCCTTCCAGCCTGCCCACTGCTGTGACAGTCCTCGGCCACTGGACTTCCTGACAGCTCTCACCCGCCTAGCCCAGCACACCAGAGAAATGCAATTCAGCGTGCTCCAAGAGCCTTGAGTCACGTCTGTGACAACCTCCAGACGTCTATTCTGAACACAGTGCTCATCCTCCTCCGGTTTCTGGAACTGGAAGCTGTTTTTCCTTCGGATTCTGCTTACTGGGTGTCCCCCACCCTCTGCACATCAGGTTGGGGTGGATGTAACCTAAGCTGGTAGAGGAAACACTGAGGACAGCCCGCTGCCTGGAAGAGGCTTCTGGGCTTCGGGGCTGAGCACCTAACCACACTGCCTGGGAGAGGTGAGCACACACGCAGACAGCTTGGTTGACAGATGCCCTAGGCAGCTGGGAGGACACTGGACCATCTGAATCCCGGTTGCCATGGCTACCAAAAGCTGAAACCACTGGCTGCTTGACTATGGGGACTGACTCAGCTGACCTCTCAAGGTCCCTTCCAGCCCTAGGATTCTACAGTTACCCCCAGCCAGATGACACCGGGTCTGCTGTGAAATCAGAAGTCCCAGACATATGATGCTCAGAAATCAAGGATTCTACCAGACACATCTTAGAGGTCATTTTTTCTCACAAATCGATGCAGTCAAAAGCCCACTTTCGACCTCTGCTACTGTTAGTGATATTGATCTTTTGTTGTTGTTTTTTGAGACAGAGTTTTTCTGTGTGGCCCTGGCTATCCTGGAACTCACTCTGT